CACAGCAAGTCCCCAAAGAAGAATTTCAGTAGAGGTCCTTACGATTTGAGAGCAAGTCACATTTCCTTCTGCCAGTAATTAGTCTACCCTTGAGAAACTGTTCTTGGCATCCTTTCAGACTTTAGTGAAGTCTGCAAATACAACCACAGGACACCTGGTGACCAGGTGATTTAAACAGCTCATTGTGAACTGGATGCTACCTTTTCCATCTAGCCAGAAACTTAGTTGTGACAGAAGTTCAGCCGTGACGTGTTCCAGTGGTGTGAATAGGATGGGACTATAGGCACAACTAAGTGGTCTATGCAGGCTGCTCACTCTCCTGATGTGAAGAAGTCTTACCTCAACCCCTCTTTAAAGTCTCACGAGGAAAAGCCTATGACCAACCTAGTGAGGATGAAAATCAACCTACTGAAGACAAAATCTCTGACAGATACTTCTTTGTGATAGACCAACACGGGCCAGAGGGAGACCTGCTATGAAGCCACAGCCTGCAATGAACAAACAAACGACAGCCTCTCTCAAGGGTGATCCTGAGGAGAAACAGAATGTTTGGAGAAACGAACACCTCACAATGGGCAGACATATAAGCAGTATTTCTCACTGTCCACTTTGCTTAGAATGAGATCTGGATCTATTCTGCTTCCTGAATGGTTGAAAATGGTCTGTCTATATGTTCAGAGACCCATAAAAAGCTAGATATCAGGTCGAGAGACAAGGTTGTTTGGTAAGAATTGCCCAGAGCTGAGACTATTTGTGTTCCAGGGGAATACTCACAAGATAGCCCCACACCAGAGAAGTTCTTAATAATAAGAGGGGATAGAATGGTCCACTTAAGGATTGTCCGTTGTGTTTCTTCTCAAGGCAATCTAGTGCAAGGGTCACAAGGATCTTATTTGGAAAAAGGAGTTTCGCAGATGATCAAGTTAAGACAAGGCCATGAGGGTGAGCTCTAATCCAATATGACTGATGTCTTTATAAAAAGGGGAAATTTGGAATAGAGACACTCATGTACAGGGGGAAGATGATGTGAAGACATAGGGAAAATGCCATCTACAAGCCAAGAAATGTCTGAGGCTACCAGAAGCTGAAGAGAGAGGCATGAAACAGATTCTCCTTCATAGCTCCCAGAAGGAATCAATCCTGCTGACACCTTAATCTCAGACTTCTAGTCTCCAGAACTGTGAGACAATAAATTCTGTTGTTTAAGCTACCCAGTTTGTGGTACTCTGTTATAGCAGCATAAGAAGCTAATTCAATGACCTATTCTCACATTTTTTGCTTTTTTCTTCCCTTGCAACTGTCTTTTGCTCATCTAGAAATTGGTAAACCAAGAAGAAATGCATTCACTATGGGACCTAATAGATTTTCCACTGAATTAGAAGCTGAGACTGCTATGTAGCCATTTCAAGTTCTTTATTCCTGTTGAAAAAAAATTAAAAAGAAGATTATACTGGTATGACAATAATCAAGGCAAAATAGTGTTTTTGCCACATCTAAATCAAGTCTAGAAGGAGTGCTACTCCTTCAAGATGACTATTATACACAACAGAAATTATAAAAGAAGAGATGGCCACAATCATCCATAGGTAGGAACAACAAGGCTCAGACTCTTCCTGAATAAGGGCGTGGCTCATCTCAGAGAGAAGACAAAAAAATCCAACATAAGCGAACTGCATGAAAGCAAGAGACAAGTGAATTGGGGAGTGAAGGAGGTCATAAATACCAGCTCCCACTCAAAAGGAAGAGAGGCCACCCCAAAGTACTTGTATTCTTTTGCTTGTTTTTTTAGTATGATTATTTTTTGGCATACGAGATGGATTGTAACAATGTATTGTTTCATCCATAAAGCATAGCACGGTGACATGGGATTGTGACCGAACAAGACGAGGCACGGACATCACTTGATGACAGTAAACTAAGAAATGGTAGCCATGAGCCTTCCTCTTTGGGTGCGGTGACTGGAATCTATTAAGGAGAAGGTCCTTTCTGCTGTTCTCAGTTATTTGTATTATATTAAAATATGTGCATTATACTTGAAATATTTCCAAATGGTGTATATGGAAAGAAGGGCGTGTGTGTATGTTGTACAGCCAATAATTAGCATGTGTAGACTTCTTTGTTTCTGCTTCCTTTGCAGCTTCCATTCCTTTGTGGGAGATGTGCAGACACTTCTGATTCTAGGGAGCTGTCAGTCACAGGACTCCAGAGACATGTTAAGCCAAAATGATCAAGTTCTCTCTTCTGGGAATTTCAGTCATGGGCAGGGACACCCGGACTAGAAGACAGTTAGAACCCAGTCATCTGATAGCAGCTCCTAACACAGACAGCATGTGACTTCCCATTATATAGATCACTGAAATGCCTAAGTCCCTGGCTTCTGTTGGCCTAGTTATTCAACATGCCATTCAGTAGTCTTACAATAAATCCACTCAGCTTCCTTCCTTCCTTCCTTCCTTCCTTAGTCAGCAAGTGTTCATTATTGTTGCTAGTAGCTAAAGAATATTGATATATGTACTATCAGGCTTCTCATTTTTTCTCATAATATCTTGAAAATTTAAATATAGATCATTTAGCTATAAAGAGGATATTGAACTTGGTGGACAGGAAAGGTTTATTATGAAGCATTACCATGTAGAATGGATGGTAAGAGAATATGGCACAGGGTATCATTGCTATACCAGAAATTGTCTCTAACTCTTCCCAACCTTAATAAAATCTCTCCAACAGTGCAACATTTTGAACTCTGAAATAAAGGGAATTTTTAAAAAAAAAAGACAGACAAACAATGAATAATTAGAGAAGGAAAGAAGAGAGCAAAAAAGAGAAAGCAGATATGAGTCATTAATGTCAAGGGTAGACTGCATCCACCTAGCAGTGGAAGTCTGGATAGGACCAAACTAGCGCAGCCAGAGAACATCGCTTTTCTCCTATTTCTCCTCACCACAGCCTTTAGTGGCAAATGATGGAATATGTACACAGTATATATTTTAAATCTATCTCTCTGCCCCTTTCTGTCTGTCTCTCTCTTATATTTACTAACAGTATAAGAGATAGTAAAAATATCTTTCATATATATAAATGTCTGCAAAGTCAGTTAACATCTCTGACCAATTCTTTATTATTAAAATGAAGAAGTTGAACTGGATAGATTCTAACAACTCTCAAAACTAAAACCTTTTTCTTTAAATAGCAATTATATTTCCATGGACTAACCAATGAGTTATAAATCAAATATTTAGAGTTCTAATTCTATTTCAAATTTAAAATCTTAGGGAGTAAAAACATTCCATCTGTACCTCAGTCTCCCCATCAGCTAACCAAAGATTATTTTTAATCCAGTTAAACTACTCATACTTTTTAAAATAAAGGCAATATAGGGCCAACTATTCTTTATGTCATATATTTGTACTATTAATTTCTCCACTCTATCATAACAAATATATTTCATCATATATATGGTTTGATTACTTGTGTTTAACATGCACAGACGTATACATCATTTTTAACTGTGTCTAGATTCAGTGAAAATGTAACAATCTCTACAAAAAGAAAGGATTTAGCACATTCCTGTGATGACAAGCAGTGAGTGTGGGAAGAAACTTTTGCTTCTTTGGTTACCAAGCAAATATTTGATTGTTGTAATGAACTACATAAATAATGAATTTATACGCATATGGTCCACATACAGGCTTAGTGATAGTGGTTTGAATAGCAATGCTGCTATTGCAGCTCTTTAATATAAGATCAACAAATCATGTTTTACCTTTAAATTAGAATTTTAAAATACCTCAATCATCCTAATCAGTTAACTAGTACAAACTAGTGGAATGTTAGTAAATTCCTACTTAAGTCTCCTAAAATTACCATCTTTGAAAAGTTTCCACAGGAGCTTTAGGCAGCCTAAAAGTTTTTGCAATTCAGAGTTTATCTCTCCCATGCCATTTCCTGAGAATAAAAAACGCAGCACAAGTAAGCATTTTTAATCAATGACCATGCTTAAACTTTGAAAATGAACAAATTAACTGGCAATCAAAATGTACTAAATGCCAAGGGGCGTCTGGGTGGCTCAGTTGGTTAAGTGTCTGCCTTTGGCTCAGGTCATGAAAACAGTCTTGGGATTGAGCCCCATATCAGGCTCCTTGCTTAGCAGGGAGTCTCCTTCTCCCTCTCCCTCTGCCCCTCCCCCGAGTTGTGCGCTCTCTCTTACTCTATCTCTAATAAATAAATAGATAAAATCTTTTAAAAAAATGTACTAAATGCTTTGATATTCCTTATATACTTTTCAGAGAAAACTGAACATCCTGCCTTGAATCCACCCATGGGAACATAAAGAACTGGAAATACAAAGATAAAGTACAGAGAATTCATGCCATGACCTCAGATCAGTGACAGTGTCAAAAATACTTTGTACAAAATGATCTGAGAAACACAACATTTAGCAGTCCTTTTGATTTCAAGGTTAGAAAATGACATCTGCCTCCTGCTATGCAAACCAGCAGTGATCCTAAAACAATTGGTTTGTCAATGTTGAGATAAGCAAACCAAGCTCAAAGTCCAGAAATTGCAAAAGGGAGGTAAAATTTCAGCAAGGGGTGTTGGCTGGGGACAGCCGCTTGTACCAAGAGAAAACCTAGTAGGCTACCTTTTTCTCTCTATTGTTATACTGGAAAGTGCTCATCCTTGTCCTCTGGGAACTTCAGCTGCTGAGGGCAAATGGGTAGGTGTTGCAATGCCTTCATTGTTATTTAGTGTCCCCCAGGTTTTTGAATCCGTCCAGTAGCCAACAGTTGACTCCTAGAGCAGAGCAAAAATTGCCCCTGCCCCACTGTTACACTGCCCGCTAGATCCACTGGCTGCTTCCGTCAGCCCGGAGATTGTCGGGACTTACTGGAAACTTTCTAAAAGCTGGCTGCAGCCGGAGCAAAGAAAATCCTACCAAGAGGGCTCCGGGTTCAGTTGCGCTGCTGCGGAGAGAAGACAGCACGCTATTGATTACTCACAGTTTGCCTCGGAGACTGGGAGCACTAGGATGAGGCACGCCAGTAGCGCCCCGCAGCGCCCACCCAGGACCCTCATTGCGAAGCGGGGGGAGGCGCGGGCGGGGACCAGGACGGTGGCGCGTCGCGGCGGGGACCTGCGAGCCCGGGCGCCGCTCACTGAGGACTGCGGCGCGGCGGCGCCTGCGAGCGAGCGCTCGGGCAGAATAGCGGGAGCCGGGGGCGGGGGGACCGCCCGCTCCCAGCCCCCAGCCCGAGAGGGGAAGTGATAACAAGGACATTTCCAGGAAGCTTTTCAAAGCTGGGGGCAGGGCTCAGGGAGAGTGGTGGAGGCCTAGTAAACACTGGCGAGACATCCTTCCTCGTCCCATGTTTCATTCCCTGTCTCCGCGCTGTGAACCTTCCCAAGGCGAAGGGGAAGGAAACGTAGTAGAAACCGCCAGCGAGCTAGGGTGAGAGGCTGAGTGGCCCGGGGAACTTTGAGGACTCCGAGGACGGGGTGTCCAGGTTTAGAAGGAAAAATCCTGCAGAGACAGACTGACGTTGAGATGAAGACATTAATCAAACCTAGAAGCGAGTAACTTCATGAAGGCGCCAGAGAACAGAGATAATGGAAGCAAATGGGATAGTTTTGATCATCCAGTTTTCTTTTGTTCTTGCATTTATGGTGTTAAAAAAAATATTTTGAGAAAAAAAAATGAGAATGTATCAAATTCCATCACCTTCAAACAGCTCATTTTAATTTTTGCAATATAACCTCTACATTTTGTGCTTAGACATACACATCTGAAATGTTATGTAATGTTTAAGACTGCATCTGGAGCTAAAACGCCTGATTCAAATCTCAATACTTTAATCACTTACTAGTTCTGTAACTTTAAGCAAATTGTTTAACCTCTCTAAGCCTCAGTTATATCTTCTGTAAAATGGGGATAATAGTGGGTTTTCATAATGTTAATGTAAGGATTTAAGAGATAACACATGTAAAGCAATTACTATGCGTTAAATAGTATTACTGAAGGCATATTTACTATTATCACTTCTAGAATTTCTGCCCAAATGAGCCTGTCAATTGATTTCCTATGTGTGTGTGTGAAATTCCATAGGCTGATCATCTTTCAAGGGGCTCTTCTTATTCTAGCTTTCTGTGGTTCTGTGACCCAACTGGATGGAAGTTGATATTAGTCACTTTTTCTGATAAGAACACTTGTGAAGGGATTACTGAATATATCTATTACCCTTCCCTCTTTGAAATTCTTTTCCTTCTTGCTGTGTCTGACTCTATCATATTAATCTATTTGCCAGTTTATTCCCAGCCCCAAGTGATTTAATTTTTAATATAATTCTAATCTCTGTAGAATTGTTTGGTGTGCTGACAATCATAGCATTAAACAAAATGACCTTTAAGTAATATATTTAACTATTAAATTTAAATGCATTTAAGCTAGGAGTCTTTCAAGTAATGGTTCGATTTGGGAATCTCCTCATCTTGTGAGGAGGAATTAAGAGCTGAATATCAATTTTGAAATCTCAAAATTTCACAAGGAGAGAAAACTTCCAGAATCATGAATCAACAACATTCATAGCCATCTCTAATATCCTCAATATAAAAAAGAATATAAAAAGTTTGAAGAAGGGAATGTTAGAGAAGCATAAGTTACCCAAAAGAAATCTTGCTCTCCTGAAAAGTTCAAGAGATTAAAGTGATTATCTTTTTAATACCATAAAGGTGCAACACAGTGTCAGCAATTTGTCAGTGATGAAAAATTATGTATCTTACCTCTACTGTAATGTCAAACTTTGAAAAATCATATACTGAGATGTTTAATAATAAAATTTAATAATACATCTTTGGATAAAATTTTCAGGTTTTTAACTTATCTCAGAAGTTTACTTTGTGAAGATGATATCTGGCTTCAGCTCAATAAATTAATACTTAGTCAATTTCACTTGCCCAAAATTTATTTTTAGTACATTTCTAAATATGTTTGTAAGTTTGTTTTAAAAGGAGTAATTTCCATTGTTTTACTTTGAGAATGTTACCTTGTTAAATGTTTGCAAAATGGATTAGAGCAAGGAAAGTTTAGAAACCAGGTAACATTTATACAAGAGACAAGTGTTGATGAAGATGTGGAGAATGGTAGGAATGTATATTTATGGAAAATACTATAGGAAGTTCCTCAAGAAACGAAAAATGGAGCTACCATATGATCCAAGAATCCCACTTCTGGGTTTATATACAAAGGAATCACTATCCGGAAGCCATTTCTGTACTCCCATGTTCATTAGAGCATTATTCACAGTAGCCAAGGTAAGGAAACCACAACCTAAGTCTAATCAATGGATGAATGGATAAAGAAAATGTGATATAGAGATAGAGATAGATATGGATATCTCACATTTATGTATGACATTTGGGCAGTATGCTAAGTGAAATAAGCCAGATAGAGAAAGATAAATACTGCATGGGATCACTTATATGTAGAATCTTAAAAAAAAAGGGGGGGGGGCGATTGGGTGTCTCAGTCAGTTAAGCGTTTTCCTTTGGTTCAGGTCATAATCTCAGGGTCCTAGGATTGAGCCCCACGTCGGGCTCTCTGCTCAATGGGGAACCTGCTTCTCCCTCTCCCTCTCCTTCTGCCCCTTCCCCCAGCTCATGCTTGCATTCTCTCTCTCAAATAAAAAAAATTAAAAAAAAGCAAATTCATAGATACAAAGAATAGGTTGCCAGGATCTGGGGAGTAAGGAAATGGGAAGAAGTTGATAGGGTATAAACTGAAAGTTTATATACCCTTTCACAGCATGGTGACTCTAGTTAATTATACTATATCATACACTGAAATTTGCTAAGAGAGTAGATCTTAACTGTGTTCTCAAAAGAAAAAAAAAGAAAGATAACAATGTGAGGTGATGGATGTGTTAATTAACTTGATTGTGGGAATCATTTTTACCATGTATGCATATATTAAGTCATCATATTGTACTTTTAAAATATATTATAATTTTGTCAATTATCCTTCAATAAAGCTGGAAAAAGAAATCAAGTAACATTTAAGATGCTAAATAATCCCTGGGGGATTAAATAAGAGTCTTAGCTAGAATGACAGCAAGGTTGTTTTCATCATTCAGAATAAACTAGATTACACTATGGTGAAATAGTCATGGAATTACAATGGTTTAAGGTAAGTGTTTATTGCTTACTTGTGGGAAGTTCACTGCAGGACTTTCTGGGCAGACATCTTCATTGTGTTGGCTCAGCATTTCATACTGTTTTGATTTAACAGTATTTCAAAGTTAATATAGTCTTCCACAATTTCCATTTCACTCACATTTCACTGGACAAAGCAAGTCCCATGACTTCTAGAGGGTGGGAATAGCTATCTCATATGTTTGGAAAAGGAAAACTGAAAATAGTGTACAGTGCTTATGTCTACCAAACCACTTAATGTATTGAAAAACTAATAGTCAACTTAGTTTACTAACTGACCGACTGTATTTTGGCACCAGAAATGTTTGGTAATGTATCATTCTCAGGGAAGACATGAAGTAGAGGTGGGGTTAAATATATTTTGGGGGAACAAGAGGGGTGTTCAGTATAGTTCCAGAAATGCTGAAGGAACATCTGCATAGTAAGTCTCTTCAGGCATAGGAGTAGTAATTGGACTCCAAGAGAACATGTTTTTAAAAAGGAATACAGAGGGATAAGGTCAGATCTTGGAGAGCACGTATGGGAAGCCGAAGGAGGAATGACTAGTGAGATCCAGAATAGTACATAATTGTGAAAAGCCAAGGGAGGAAAGAGTTTTAGAAGAATTAACTGTATTAAATGTATTAAGGGATGAAAAAGAAAATGAGAATTGATTTAGTAATTAGGAAGATATAAGTTACATTAAAAAATGTGTTTTGAGTAGTTCAATGGGACAGAACCTCAGTCACAGTAAATTGATAAAAAGAATGAACAGAAAAAAAAATAGTGCTTTGGGGTTTTAGTGGTAAGCCACCAGTTTAAAAAGTTGGGTTATGAAAGTAAAGAGTCAACAGAACAGTACTAATCTGGCTCATAGCTAAGGAGGAATTGTGGATCTTTCCTGCCTTGCCTTCTTACCCCCTCTCTACCCTGGAAATTGCAGTCAAAGATCTAGGGAAAAAATGGGGAGCAATATGTTTCAGATGTTGGATCAAGAAGAAATAATCAGAGGAACAGGATTTCAGAAAAGTTGAAACATGATGTTTGTCAACATCGCAGGAAAGTGGTTAACCTTGGAAAAGATGAGGTAGATGTCTTCAGATATTAGACAATGAGAAGAAACAGATAACAGTGAGAAAAGGAAATTTATGAAGGTATAATCTAACTTTCTTCATTAGCACTGTAGAATAGAGGTATTATTGTGTCTGGACAGGACAGTCTGGGCAGGAAAAGCATCCAGCACTGATGAAGGGATGATTCAGTTAAGAAAAACAGTACAGGTCATGTAGCCTTGAGACTGGAAAGAAATTTGAACTTATCAAGTCAGGACAATGAAAATAGTGAACAAGATTCTTAGCAATTAGGAGAAAGAGGTAGGAGGAAATGTGCCATAAATGTTTTTTAGAAAGGTGACAGCAACTTCAAAATCTACTATCTATTATTTGTTAGAAACTGCACTTAGGCTTTATTTCTTTCATTTCATCATCTTAGTGACCCTGCAAAGTAGGTATTTTCATTCCCATTTTGCAGATGGGATAATTGGGTTCAGAGATGGTGAGCTGTAAGGGATGTGTATGAGTTGAATCAGGGTCACATGAATGAGTAAAGAACAGAGAAAAATTTTAAAACTAAATCTGTTGTGGGACGGTGGGTGACTCAGTCAGTTAAGCGTCTAACTCGATTTCAGCTCAGGTCATGATCTCAGGGTCCTGGGATGAACCCTGCATAGGGCTCCATGCTCAGCTTGGAGTCTGCTTGAGATTTTCTCTCCCTCTGCTCTGCCTTCCGCTCATACGCATGTGTGCTCTCTAAATAAATAAAATATTAAAAACAAAAACAAAAACAACAACAAAAACCTAAATCTGTTGTAGCAAACCATTATTTTCCCCTGGACACACTGGGCATCCCAGGGCCCTCTCTCCTTTTACCAAGATTTGAAAAAACATATTTAAGTAGAAATGGAATGGACACACAGGTCCCTACATATCGTGCGGGCATTTTTTTCCCCTACAGGAATGTACTTGCCATTTCTTTTCTCTCTCTCTCTCTATATATATACAAAGAAATGCAGATATTACATATCCTTGTAGATAAACTAAAACATATTAAAAAAAACAGCCAGCAGATCACCATCTCCATCTTGCAGAAACCAAATAGCTAACAATCTAATATTATCTAAAAATCTTCAAAAGAACGTATATCAAAATGTTAATACTTGTTATTTTGGGGTGGTGAATATGAGATTTTATTTTGTTCATCTTATTCCTTTTTCAGTGTTTTTCACATTTTCTACAATGAATATATTATTTCTTTTAGCTCCTGCTAAAAGATACTCATTTATTTTGCATTCATAACCCCCACACACAATAAATATCATACAATTCCATTTTACATTTTATGTAACAAACAGCAATAAACATACAGATTAAAACGTCTGTCATCTGAATTATTAGATAGTTAGCAAATGAGTTTCCCCCTCGTCCTTAATTTATAATAACTGCCCCAGGGTATTGTTTCTGTAGTTGTGCAGCCAGAGTCTGCCGGAGTCCCAGAGGATCCCCCACCCTGCTTCATAAAACAAAACAAAACACGCACAAGATCTGAGATCTCTGGATCTCAGCTGGGGTTAGGGACAGACGAGGAACAACACATTTTGTATGGGTATTCAGAGAAGCCTTGCCCAAGCTCTGTCAGAGATTTTTCAACGCCTCTCTGGACGCTCCGGTTGCCTAGTTACGAGAACCACCTCCCCGCCCCCGCCTCCACAGGGGAAGGGGAGTCCGGCCCCTTCAGCCACTCAGAGGCCCCCACTACGGGCGGTCGCACGATTGGAGTAGTACATGGGCGGTGCTTGGGGCGGGCCTTCCGCGCCTGCGAGGAACGTCAGCACGTCGACGCGGGGGTTTTCTGTGGCCCGGCTCCGCTAACCCTGCTCCGGTCTGTGTATCTGCGCTTTCGGCCCTGCTGTGCCTGGGCGAGGAGGCCGTTGTTGGCTCGCGGGCCCCCGGCGCGGTTGTCAGGGCCTGGTGCAGGGACTGATCGCCTTGACCTCCCTCCCGACTTCTCCGCCTCAGAGGTCCCTGGGAGCGGCTGCGGCCCTCCGGGGACTCGGCCCGGGGCAACCAGGGGCCCATCCCCGCTCGGGGCTCGGATGGGAGGCGGCGGGAGGTGCGGTCTGGCATGTTCAGTCTGATGGCCAATTGCTGCAGCTGGTTCAAGCGGTGGCGGGAGCCCATCAGGTAAGCTGGAGCCGGCTGCCCGGTGCGGTCGTGGAGTGTAGGGACAGCTGTGCCCCGAGGGGCCGGTTGGGGGGGGGCACACCTCTCCTCTGGGAAGAGTCTCTCTCAGGCCTCGGGGGATGCTTTTGCTCCCAATTTGACTTGTCCCCAGAGGAAGAGGTAGGAGGATGTAGCCTTTTTGTCTAGTTGCATTTAAGTTCTCATCAGTGGTGCTTACTGTTATCATTTAAATGGGCTCGAATTTCTTAAAAAGTTGTGGATTTTGTGTATGGAATTGGAAACTATCCGTTGTGTATATTTCCTGTGACGTTTTTGTAATGGGAGGTTTGTTTTTTTTTTAATAGAGAAGCATGGGATAGAGTTTTCATAACATCCACACATTCCTTTCCAACACACACACGCACACATACACTCATTCACTCACTGTTTTTAGGACTTGGGTTTGAAATCTGGCTCCACTGCTTAATAAATTATATGACTTAACCACTTTTGGCCCCACCTTTGTCATATATTAAATGGGGGTGATAATATCTATGCCTCAAGAGTGTTGTATTAAATGAGACTAGCTGATGGAAAGTGTTTTCTTAACTGTAGTGTAGCTTCAGTTTTCATGTGGAATCTAGTTAAGCCTTTAATTGAAAGAGTCCGCTTCTTAACCTTTCATTTTGAAATGCTGGATGTATTAAGATTTAGCACCTGCTACTTGATATTCACGTATTTGTTGAGAAAATACCATGTGCCAGGCACTATGCTAGGCAAGAGTCAGTAAAAATGATGCTTTTTAGGCTTACCCTATAAAGAAACCTTAAGTTTGTTATTCCTTATAAATAATGTTGACTTTTTAATAGTTCTACTTTGGAATTAGGCCAAGGGTAAATTATAACAAAGTTTTGTTTTCCTTGTGATTTGATAAAGGTGTTGTTGGGCAGAGGAATACCACAGAGATGACATGTCTTTCTCAGTATCGAGGGTTGCGTGATGTTGATAGTCTTATTACTTGTAGTGTTAACTTTGATCACTTAGTTATGGTTGTGTCTGCCAGATTTCTCAATATAGTGTTTTTGAGTCAAACAGATTCATGTCTGAATCCTAGGAATTTTGGCACTTTTCCCCCTGTCAAGTGTGGATAATTTTTGTCTTGCAACATTTTGAGAAGAAAATTTATGCAACTACTTGATGCTTTGCAGGTAGCACTCAGTAAATGATACTTCTTTTTTTTTTTTAAAGATTTTATTTATTTATTCATGAGAGACAGAGAGAGAGAGAGAGAGAGGCAGAGGGAGAAGTAGGCTCCCAAGGAGCAGGGAGCTCGATGTGGGACTCGATCCCAGGACTCTGGGATCATGACCTGAGCCGAAGGCAGACGCTTAACCATCTGAGCCACCCAGGCGCCCCAGTAAATGATACTTCTAAGATTAGGAGACGAGTGCCTATTAGTCAGTTACCCACCTCAATTCATTTTATACTTATCAGTATAGATACCTTTCCCTTCGTCCCTTTCTGTGTTTGTGGAAGAAGGGTTCATTTTTCCTTTTCAAGACTAATTATGGTGGCTGTGCTCTTTATTCCATTTTTTCCTCATTTCTTGGTTAGCTTCAGTTGGTCAGCATTTTGCCAGAGGTCACAGAGAGAACTTCTGGGATACAAGAATAAAGCTAAACTTTTATCCCAAAATTTATTGTTCAGTTTTATCAAAAATACAAAATCTTTCTCTTTTGTCTTCACAGGTTCGCTTCTGTTCTTTCTTTAGAATGTAAACATGCTCAAGCCTCTCTTACCTAAAAAACAACCCAAACTAAATGTTTCCTATTGCTGCTTAACAAATTACTATTAACATAGTGACCTAAAACAACACAAATTTATTATCCTACAGTTCTGAGGCCAGAGTCTAAAATGGGTCAGGAGAGCCTTAGAGCTTTCTGGAGGCTCTGAGAGAGAATCTGTTTTTCTTTGCCTTTTCCAGCAAAAAAAAAAAAAAGAGAGGTTGCCTGCAGTCATTGGCTTGTGGCCCCCTTCTTTCATCCTCAAAGCCAATTGTATAACATCCTTCTTCTCTGATCTTTTATCAGGACTTTAAAAAGTCCCTTTTATAATGACTCTTGTGTTTACATCTGGTCTACCTGGGTACTCCCAAGATAAGCTCCCCATCCAAGATCCTTAACTTAATCATGTCTGCAAGATTCCTTTTGCCATGTAAGGTAACATATTCACAGGTTCCAATGATTAGGTTGTAGACATATTTGGGAAGTCATTATTCTGTGTCTACCATAATAAACAACGCTCTGTCCCTGCAGCCACTACCTTTCCCTCTCAGCCTTCACCCCAGACTAACAGTTGGCAATGGATTACTGATACTTTCTCAACTTCATCTCCTCTCATGCATTCCTTAACTTCCTGCATTTGAAGACTTCTGCCCCGACCCTTTAATTCAGTTTGACACTTAAGACCACTCTCTTCTTAAAATTCTCTGGTTTATTTTTCCTGACTTTAAAAATTTTTACCTTTCTGCCTTTGGCCATTTCTTTCTCTGTTTGCCAGTTAGCCTTTCGTCATCTCACTCTCAAGTCTTCCCCAGTGTTCTGTCTTCAACTCTGTTTCTAATGTATATTCTCCCTTCGTGGGCAATTTCACCACATATAGTGACTTCAGTGGCCACTTAAACATTGGCTTTCAAGTCCGTGTGTTTCCAGTACAAAGACTCATCTACCACTTGAAGATTTACATATCCCATTCCACAAGAATCCTCAATCCCAGCACATCCAAAATTGAATTTAGATCCTCTCTCATTTCCATGCTGAATTGCTTCTGCCTTCCTTTTACCCAAGTCAAGCCGGGAGCAATCCTAGATACCTCTTTGTGCTTTGATCTCTCAAATCATAAAGTCTTTTGGTTTCTATGGGCTTAATACCACTTACAAGTCTTACACTCTTTTAGCCTTTCCATATCCATACCTGTTTTAAAGATTTTATTTATTTATTTGACAGAGACAAAGCGAGAGAGGGAACACCAGCAGGGTGAGTGGAAGAGGGAGAGTCAGGCTTCCGGCCAAGCAGGGAGCCTGATGCAGGGCTCCATCCCAGGACCCTGGGATCATGACCTGAGCGGAAGGCAGATGCTTAACGACTGAGCCACCCAGGCACCGCCCCACTGCGTGGTTTTAGATTAAATTTCCATTATTTCTCTCCCACATTTCTTTGACAGACTTTCCACTGTTCCCCTCTGATTAATTCTCTACACTGTTGTCAGTGGTCTTTTTTCCTTTTTCCTTCTGTCCAAATTCCTTATGCCAAATTTGCCGAATTTAAGTTCTCTAGTCCCTCCATTCCTCACCAAATGCTCTTCTTTTTTTGGTTGGCTGTTCCTAATCATTCCTCACTTGTCAGTTGGGAGATTCTCTTTCAGAAAACTTTCTTTGAATTCCATCTAGGTTTTTTACCTTTTCATTGTAATTGCTTAGCACCGTGTATTTGTCTCTACTTATCCATGTATTGTAATGAAATGTTTATTCAACTCTTCTCACCTGTCCTCCAGGATGGCTTGTGGACAGGAGCTGTTGTTATTTAAAAATATTTAAAAGTAATGCTTGTTTATTGTTATTTAAAGGTGATGAATGTTTATGTAGAACATTGAAAGCACAGTTAAGCAAAAAGTGGCATATAAAGTTGCATATAAAGATTTACATTTTGTTGTAGAATCTCTTATATAACTGTAAATTCTCTTTTTATTTGCTGTTTTTACTCATTACCAAATGATCTCCATGGTGAGTCCAATTAACCATCTGACACTACACAAAATTATTAAAATATTATTGACTATATTCCCTATGCTGTATATAACATCCCTGTGACTCATTTATTTTATAACTGGAAGTTTGTAACTCTTAATCCGCTTCACTTATTTCATCTCTCCCTGCTATAGTAACCAACAGTTTGTTTCCTATCTCTGAAAGTTTGTTTGGTTTGTGTGTTTGTTTTTTAGATTCCATAAATAAATGAAAACATATGATACTTGTCTTTCCCTGACTTATTTCACTTAGCATAATACCTCTGGGCCCATCCATGTTGTTGTAAATGGCAGGATTTCATTCTTTTTTTATGGCCGAGTAATATTCCATCGTATATCTATACACCACATCTTTATTCATCTATCGATGGACATTTAGGTTACTTCCATATCTTGGCTATTGTAAATAATGCTGCAGTAAACATAGGGGTGCATGTATCTCTTCAAATTGGTGTCTTTGTTTTCTTCCTATAGATACCCAGAAGTGAATTGCTGGATAGTATGGTAGTTCTATTTTTTTTTTTTTTTAAAGATTTTATTTATTTATTTGACAGAGAGAGACACAGCGAGAGAGGGAACACAAGCAGGGAGAGTGGGAGAGGGAGAAGCGGGCTTCCCACTGAGCTCCAGGGAGCCCAATGCAGGGCTCGATCCCAGGACCCTGGGATCATGACCTGAGCTGAAGGCAGACGCTTAACCGACTGAGCCACCCAGGCGCCCCTGGTAGTTCTATTTTTAAGTTTTTGAGGAACCTCCATACTCCATATGTTTTCCATAGTGGAAAATTTATGTTCCCACCAACAGTGTACAGGATTTCCCTTTTCTCCACATCTGCACCAACACTTGTTATTTTTTGTCTTTTTGATAATAGCCAATCTGACCAGTGTGAGGTGATACCTTATTTTAGTTTTGATTTGCGTTTCCCTCATGATTAGTGACATTGAGCATCCTTTCATGTGCCTGTTGGCCATCTCTATGTTTTCTTTGGAAGAACATTTGTTTGGGTCCTCTGCCTGTTTTTTAATCAGGTTATTTTTTTGAGTTGTGTCAGGTTATGTATTATCCTAAGTTTTATACATTTGGGATATTAATCCTTTATTGGATGTATGATTTGCAAATATCTTCTCTCATTCAGGAGGTTGCTTTTTTGTTTTGTTGATGGTTTCTATCTGTGTAAATTTTAAACAATAAAGAGATAATAGAATGCTATTTGGCAG